GGTGCAATCGCACAATCAGGTCGATATGACAAAGGTCCGATTTATTTTAATGTAAACATAATACTCTTAACATGACTATGGGATGAGGCAACTGAAAAATTGTTATTGTTGGACAAATGCTTCAAGCAATCCTTTGTACTCAGTCTAACACGGACTATGCAGTAAAACGCGTTGGCAATAAACTGTGTACCATCTACTGAACTTAGTGTCCTGAACCGTGAATCAGTCAGACAACTATCAATGCCTGTGTCATTGTGTTAGATCGTTTGCGTTCTGCCGCACATCCAGCATTTATTTATCCGCGCTGTTTTCTTTCTTGATGAGGTTTCCTCTGGTTTTTCGTTAACACCAGCTGACCTTTTAATGTCACTGTAAATCATTCTACTTCCGGATCGATTCGATCGGACTTTAGGGCGGCGCAGTAACCGTAATAGCGATATTTTTTACTTTGACATTACACTTCTCTTGTTTACCCGATGATCGCTTTCACGCCTCTTTAGCGGCGTGTATCTTTTGTTCATTTGTGTTATGGCTCTGTGTATAGGTGAATCCTTCGTCAGAAAGTGTACATGGAGCGTGTTTTCATTGTTGCAGAGATCAGCAACGTTCAGCAGACCTCTGCCACCGTGCTTCCTTGGTGGATATCACCTGGCAACAGATGATTTCGGATGGTAAATGCGAAAATCCGTCACTGTAGTCCTGACCTTTCGATCGAGAATGGTCTGGAGCCATATCGGTACTCCAATTATGTATACCTACCACAGGCATAGTCCAGATATTAACAGCTTTGCTCCTATTGATACAAGTAAGCTCGATTCAGAAACCAAGATGAAGCTCTTGTTGAATGACTTTATTGCATTTTCTTTCACTGTGTTGGATTCGATTCAGAGAATTTCCTGTAGTTTCAAAGTTTCATAACATGTGTCCGTCCTTAGTTCTGAATTTTTGTACCGCCTTCTGGATGCAGGTTTTCTGATTGCAGGGGCTTTCTACGTCTGGCATGCAGAACTTTACACGAACCTAGGTCGAGTTCCATTTCGATTGCCCCCTAAACTTAAATACCGAGTCGAACATGTATTCCAATTCTTTTCTGTTTCTGCCATACGGTTCAATGGTGAAAATGTGGGGATGCTTCGTGTTTCCTCTTCTCCATAATGTAGCTGTATCCTGATTTGTTTAACTGCTCTCCAAGAGGCTTTACTGCAAAACGGAACCATCCTAACTAAAGGACATCCTCCTTGAAAAAAATGCTTCATCTGACTCGGGATTATTTCGGTTTCATGCTGATATGGACCTCTTCGAAGCGCGTTCATCATGTCTCCATGAAGTTGGCCATCATGGTAAAGACACTGTCATTCACCTTGTACATCCGCAGTATATTTAATAACGATGAATGAGGTACTGAGTCAAACGCTTGCTCGTTCTCAACGTTCTTAAATGAGATGTAACGTCTTGCATACATGACTTGGTTGGTGGCAACTGAATCAAGTATAAGCACCTCTTTGCAGTCTTGGTTTCTTTGCTTGCAGTTATTTTGTTCTTCTGTTAAGATGATATTTGCCTGAAGATGCTTCACTGCCAGTACAGATGACTCAAGAGCTGTGGGCGGTCGACACACACGGTGTTGGCCGAAAGTTCTTAGAAATCACAACTATTTGCTTAGATAACATGTACGTGCGAAATTCCGCTTCAGTCAACAACTTTCTCCGTGTCGAGCGACGGAAACTTCACAGGGATCTCGTGGCTATGGTGATCACCCAGGCAGTAGTTGCTCCAACATTCTGTCTGACTTGTCTAGCTTACACCACGGTTGGGTTTTTTCTTGCCAGACAACCTATAAACCAAAGTTTACTTTACATCATGAAGCCCATTTTCTATAGGCTTTGTTCATGCGACCTAAAACTCATGGACGAAAGTCGGCCAACGCGAAACCGGGATTAGGTCTCAGCCTGTTGACAGCCTTTCTTCTTTCCCCGTATCGAGAGGTTTTACTCTATCAGTAACAAATATCGCCCTTCGTTCACCGACGATGAACATGCAGATGTTTAGCTAACGTTACTAC